AGATTTGGGATCAGGAACATGTACCAAAAGCCTGGAAAAAAGACTTCTGGTCAAAACACCAAAGGCGATCTCAGCAACTGTGATAACTACAGGGGCATCACTCTTCTCTCGACACCAGGAAAAGTCTTCAACAGGATGAAGGACTACCAAGACGCCCGACTTCGAAACCAACAGGCAGGATTCCGTAAGGATAGATCATGTACAGACCAAATCGCAACTTTACGGATTGTTGTGGAACAATCAATTGAATGGAATTCATCACTCTACATCAACTTCATTGACTAAGAAAAAGCATTTGATAGCATGGACAGAACAACACTATGGAAGCTTCTTCGACACTACGGCGTGCCTCAGAAGATAGTCAATAAAATACAGAATTCATATGATGGATTAAACTGCACAATTGTTCATGGAGGACAATTGACAGACTCGTTCGAAGTAAAGACCGTTGTCAGGCAAAGTTGCTTACTCTCACCCTTTCTCTTTCTCCTGGTGACCGACTGGATCATGAAGACGTCAACATCTGAAGGGAAGCACGGAATACAGTGGACAGATAGGATGCAGATGGATGATCTAGACTTCGCAGATGATCTGGCTCTTCTATCGCACACGCAATAACAAATGCAGGAGAAGATGACCAGTGTGGCAGCAGCTTCAGCAGCAGTATGTCTCAATATACACAAAGGGGAAAGCAAGATTCTCCGATACAACACAACATACACCAATCCAATCAAAATTGACGGAGATTTGGAAGATGTAAAACCTTTACATATTTGGGCAGGATCATTGATGAACACGGTGGATCTAATGCAGATGTGAAGGCATGGATCGGCAAAGCAAGAGCAGTATATTTACACTTGAAGAACATCTGGAACTCAAAACAACTATCAACCAACACCAAAATTTCATTAAAAATGTTAAAACAGTCCTACTGTATGGGGTGGAAACTTGGAGAACTTCGAAGATCATCATCCAGAAGATACAAGTGTTTACTAACAGTTGTCTACGAAAATAATTCTGATCCGTTGGCCGGACACTATTAGCAACAACGTGCTGTGGGAGAGAACAAACCAGATTCCAGTGGAGGAAGAAATCAGGATGAAGCGCTGGAAGTGGACAGGGCAAACATTGGGGAAAGCACCCAACTGCGTCACAAGGCATGGCCTCACTTGGAATCCTCAAGTGTAAGTGAGAAGAGGAAGACCAAAGAACACATTACGTCGGGAAATGGAGATAGACATGAGGAAAATGAACAATAATTGGATGGAACTAGAAAAGAAGGCCCAGGACAGATTGGGTTGGAGAATGCTGGTCGGCAGCCTATGCTCCATTGGGAGTAACAGGCGTAAGTAAGTAATATATACATAAATGTATATACTAGTATGATAATTAGTTGCTTGTTAATTAGCAAATAATTACTCGCTAAATGAAAAAGAAAGTTTTGATTTCAACTTACGTTTGCATTTTTAAAACGGTCATGTAGTTAATATGCGTCAACAAATTAATTTTTGGAGTAAATATAGTTAGATATTGTGACGTTTCCAATAAAAATTACGTTGTGTAAAATCTATTCGGTAGGACTATATTTTATGGACGACCTTTGAACGAATTTTTAAGTGGCCTTGAAACTATTGGACAATCAGAAGAGAGTCAGTATAAAGTAAAAACATTATAAAAAAAAGCTTATGAATTACAGCGGATATTCTTCTTTTGCATGATTTAAAAACTTGTCAAGGTTAGATAAAGGTTCAGATGTCCTGAAATCATAGTGCGTAGGGTTAGGGTGCACAAACCCAAGTCTATGGAGGCATCTATATGCTTTCCAATCATCGGTATATATCGTACTGCCAGGCTGCACGTACTGTAACACCTGGAAAAGCCACAGCCAATGTTACTGGTGACTTCGTTATCCAATTCGCAACAATTATCATTATTCGCTTTAGTCTGAGTCGTGATCGCGCAAAAAAAGTGCTAGTTCGAGCATATTTTTTCCTCCGACATTTAGTACAACGAAATATAATGCCATCACCGTAGTCTGCACATCAAGCTGGTCATTTGATTGCCGCAGTCACAGATACAGGAACCTCCTAATAGGCCCATCTGTTGTAGTCGCTCAACAATCACCTCTTCTCTAAAATCTGCTTGAAAACGATCGAATGTGAGCGTCCCGCATTGAACTTAGCGCCGTGACCTTGAAATTCCTCAAACGCTTCTGATTGTCTCGTCCATAAATTAGAGTCTTACCGAATGAGATATTATTAGAAACTACATTACTTATATCAAGCACACATTAAGGTGGACATTTCCGTGAGGCATGATAAGTAATTGAAATTTTTTCTGCTAGATTAGTAAAAATCGGTTAACAGGAAGATTGTCCAAATGGTGACACGCAGTCAGTGATAAAAGCCAACTGCATTTTATGCCGACAGGATAAGCTATTGTCATCATATGGGGGAATTCTGATAAGTAGTATCCTTAGAATTGTACTATTAGTAACGTCGCATAGAAAATTAATGATTAGACGATCTAGGTTATAGAAAAACAATTTACTAGCAATAAACTCCCCACTGAGTAATGACTCTTCCTTATTATTTGAAAATCCCTATCGTCGTTGGACAATATTTCGTTAGATGAAAATCAAACATGGTATTAACATGTTTTATCACTTTTTCAAAACTAACTCGTAATGATATTTCATCTGAACAATTACATCCCAGATTTTCTACAGTAGCATGCAGCAGTATTATGTGAAAAGCATTAACAAAAGTAATTTGTTCTACATCACTTGTATTACTAATGATGTTTGCAAACATTATTATTGCCAACATAAGCATAAAACACTTCATAGTGAAATACGACAAAGAACAAAGATAAAATCACAAGTTCTAAAATTGTTTTTTTCAATTGAATTAGTCTTGATTTTTTACGTGTAATTCTGTAAAATATTACACATGTGAGTAATTATGCGAAAACCTGATGCATTACAAAACAAAACAACCTCAGGTTGATAGGATTTTGTTTTGATGTTTTGTCTTACACATAAAAAGAAAAATAAATTGGCAGATAATAACTCGTCCACCAATTATCGATGATAATAAAACACAAAGTCAACTCCATGAATAAAGAAACACACCATAATTGATCCGTGTTAAGAAGCCTAAAATAAAGTGTTGTCAAATGCACTAAATTTGTTGTTGTTAAAGGTATCAATGAATTTTGTCCGGAAAAGCAGTCCAGTTTGTTATCATACTATAAAAGAATGAAGTGACTAACGTAATGTGCAACAGAAGAAAAAAAATACTCAAATTGAAAAAAACCTCTAAGTATTGGAAAAAAAGGTAAAGACCAAATCAAAAAAGACTTCTTTTGTTTTTATGCCCTCTGTTACATAAATCATGGGAAAAAACACACAGGAACTATCGAAAACAAAAATGAAACAATACATTCTCGAAGTTGAACAGATAATAGTATTAATATGGCAAAGAGAATACAACTAACGTTTTGTTTCCAATGAAGAATTTAATGAATTACAAACTTCTTTTTGTTATATAATCATCACTGCTTTCTAGCACTATTCAATAACCCGGAGTTTCCTCTGAAATAAAATACACTACATTATATACTGTAAATACACAATAGATTTTTTATTTTTAATTTAACCGGGCATTTAAACATTTTTAACAGTCTTTTTTATTTGTATTCTAGCAAAGTTGCATTATTCATTAGTGCATTGAAAGATAAACAAATAGACGAACTTGGTAGTGGTAGTGTTGGTAGCAGCAATAGTTGTTGTAAAACACAAAGCAAACTTATAAGAAATGCATCAAATAGAGAAAAATGAATACAACAGCCCAGAAATAAACAAGTATGTTAAATTTTACAAATTAACGACTATAACTGTAAAGGAAATGATTACAGGAATCATAAAGCGACTAGTTGAGAGAGAAAAAAAATGCTGAAAACTGTGTGTTCGTACTACATAAAAACGCTCTAGATACAAGATCCAAGAGGTTGTATAATTCAAGGCAAACCGATAAAATGATTATGAAAGCGAACAGATACTGAAAAATCTCTAGCAATTCGCAGGAGAAAAATACGTAAATATATATTCATATATATGACGCTTAAGTGCATACATTATTTATGTCTTCAAGTTAGTACATAAGCGCACAAACAAATAGATAAAAAAATTACAGAGATCTCTTCTATATTATGAAGTAAATGCAAGAGAGGCTGGAGCGAATAGAAATCAAGCATAAAATATTATAAAGAAATTACACATACATGCACCAAGACAAGTTAAATCTTCTTTTGACAACAGTCTCAATACATTTTATGTCTTGTACATAATGAATAAAAAGTATACTCTAGAAGAGAGTAGTAGGAGAAAAAATAAACAATTGACTAATTGACTTACAACATTGTAAACTCTCTTCTGGAAAAAAGTTGACCAAAAGAAAAACACTTGAATTGAGAAAAACTCAGATAATAAAAGGATTTGATTACTTACTTTGCTCGAAAGCACATACACAGACACACATAGCCCATTCACTACGCAGTGTAAAACTCAAAGCAGTAAAAAAGAAACAGAAAAGAATGGAAAAATGAAATTCTGACAAACTATTTCATTAATAATAAGTCAACTGCAATTGTGTTTCTAGTTTGTGAGAAATAAAAAAGTGAAAACTGGGGGAGAGAGAGATAGAAGGAACAACCAGTGATAAAAAAAGGAAGAAAACAACTTTTTTCGGATTATTAGATTGATTACAATCCTATATTTATTTATTTATTTATTTGTTTGATTTATTTTTGTTGTCCAAAAAACGAAATAACAATATCGGCAACCAAGAGAAAAAAACTGACAGTGCACAGATTCACACATTTAAACAAATGATTTGAATTATTTCTTTTTTTTTTTCTATCAGTTCCATATTCGCAAAAAACTATCCCATGATCCTGTGCACACTGCCATACCATCTTCGGACACGCCTAAACAACTAACACGGTTATCATGTCCAGCCAATATACCTGAAATTGAGAGAAGGGAGAAATAAACAAACAATGATATAAAGTCGAATTATGTTTGATATTGTCATATGTATGTATAAGGTTTGAAGACAAAATTTATGAATGCACATTAATAAAAATATCAATGTAAATTATAATGTAGAAACATTCAATCTTTTATTAATTAGTTATAAAATTAAGTGGACTCTAGTTTTTTCTACATTTTACATAGGTAGACACCATTGTTAAGATGTTCAAACAATTAATATTCGGTCTAACCTAATAAGCAAAATAAACATTTTAATTTATCGAGTCAATATATATTCATGAAGCAATCACATAAAATACAGATAAGTTTTGGAATTACTGAATAATAATTGTAAGAAATTCAATTTAAAAACTACTTACTACATTTTAATTGCCATTCATAGTGAAGGTTTAATATGAAAGTTATATGGGAAAAGTAAACGGCATCAATAAAATTAGTGTATTACAATTATTTTCTAATGTTGTATTGTTTATCATAATAATCTTATCTAATTGACTTTGATAGATAATAGATACATAAAAGTAATGTATATCTTATATAAGTAATCACCAACTTACATCTTACTTTCACTGTTGAGGAAAGAGAAAGTGTGTGTAATACAATGAACCTGATTACAGTCACAGACAAAATCCTAATTCAGCTTAGATATAAATATATATTATTTGATTTAAAAATCAATGTGGAAATTCCTTTATTCAATTAGACTGTTGAGTTTAATAACATAATATCAATAGTTCTTTGAATAACATAATACAGTTAGTACAATTTAAGATGAAACTTAGATATATTTTGAGCTGTATTTATTATATACAACCATAAAATGGCCACATATGAGCAAAGGTTAGTGTGAAACATCAAAATTATTTCTTATAAGAAATATGTATAAAATAGTGTATTTCAATGGTACAGACAATTATTAAACACTTTTTAGCATTCATTTAAGTTTACTTTATACAGGAGAACAGAAGTAACCAAATTTATGACATAATCAGCTATGGTGAACATGTTCACACTTATCAATAAAATAGAAGAAATTATATGACTATGAATTTAAAAAATTTAATAATAAAATACTTTACATGACGAGTTCATAAGTAAGGAGAAACAAATGTTTAGATGTCTTTATTTCTTACCAGTTCCAGAAAAAACTATAATTGCAGAAAACAAATCTCTAAACAAAAAACTAAATTAGTAAAAATCGTGATTGATTGTGACTGATTTGAAGATGAACATTTTAGAAAGTCCAGTTTGGAGTCACTGTAAATATCATCAACTATATTGAGAGTGAGAGATTTATAAACCATATCAATGATATCAGATGATGGCGTTACGCCAAATATTGAATTAACCATAGCTGGAAGTGATGGCTGATGTATTTTAAGTCGTTAATTGAGTAATATTGGGATGTTCACAAGAGCTGAAGACCCATCTTTTGATTCTAGCTGTCCTAACAGGTGTGGATTGTCAAATGAGATAACTAGTCAGTACTCGTTAATTATCTATTGCTCTTCACCTGAGATCAATGCACAATGAAACGTAGCTTCACATAAAATAAAAATGATAGTTCGAAAAAATATTAGAAGGGTAGTAAAAACTTGAATAACTAAGTTGTTAGAGCGTCCAGTAATATGATGAGGCTAGTAATGATACTTACAAACAAGCAGACAAGAATGTCTCCATAGAATGGATGATGATAAAAAAAATGTTGTGAAAGACTAAAAATATTAAATAAATGAAGCATGCATTAGCGTTTGACTACCAGTTCAACAAAGACTATCGAAGTGTACACATGTTACGATTGATAAGAAAAAAATAACTATTACAGTTCTGAAAAATACAGTAAGTAATCTGTCATTGTTCAGTTTAATGATCATTAAAAAGACTGCAGCTAAATCACTTGAATGACTTGATAAGAATAAATTCAACAAACGTGGACGTTTTTAAATGTAATGATTTTAATAACTAGTTAATAAAATATTTAAATAATCAGTAAAGCTATATTGCCTTTTAAACCAGTATCATTTGGTTTGGAGTCCAGTAGTCTTTCAGGTATAACATTTTGATTTAAGCATTCTAAAAGGACATTTTACACAGACTCAACTACAATATTGATCCATAGTTACAGGGTTATATTTGTTAGTTAGTAAGAAGAATGGATGAAGGAAAGAATAAATAAAAACATAAGCAAGTAAATCAAGTGACATGCTTAAACATAACTGAACAGTAAATGAATGTAGTAAATAAGATTAACATTTTGTGATAATAAAAGTCTGGTTAATGGTAGGTGCTTCAATTATTGTTTCCAATGAAAATAAAATAGCTGATAATTGCCTATGATTCATATAAATCTGAAACTTAATGTAACCAACTCAAAAATATATACATTATAAAATGACCATAGAAAAAAATATTATTTGAAATTTATTCACTCTTGGAGAAATTTTAGACACAAAGGAAACTTATCAACATTTATGGCAACCTCAGGAGGAAAGATAGGATAAAGTTGATCAAAATTTCTTTCTTTTTAATCGTTAGAACACTTAGATTTTAGTTTGTCCAAAAAAACGCTCTCTTGCAAATCATATTATAAAAAAAATTAGACACTAGTACTTTTCCTTAATATCAATCCAATATAACAATTTAAACAGGAAGTAAACGACTTGGTTTTATTCATACATGTTTACAAACTTCTTGAACTTTTACAGTTTCAAGCAACTATTTTCAGGATTGGAGATTAACTAGACAAAATGAATTAGTGTTTGGGAGAATTTTTACTGGAGTTTGTTAACTTATTAGAAGTAACGAGACAAGGTAAATACATTTAGTTGTGCTGCATTACCAAGAAGATAATAAATTACTACGTAGCAGTACAAATATACGACAGATTGTTTTTAAAAAATTAAATAGAAAAGACTATAACATACCAGCACGTTCTTGTTTAAGTGTATCCCATATATTGCAATTGAAATCATCATATCCACCAAGTAGTAATCGTCCACTTTTACTGAAAGCAACACTTGTTATTCCACAAATAATATTATCATGACTAAACATTCCAATTTCTTGGTCAGCTCTAATATCAAAAAATCGACAGGTTGCATCATCACTACCAGTAGCAAAAGCTAAACCGCTCGGAAAGAATATAATTGCATTGATATCTGATTCATGTCCAGTGAACGTTTGTTTACATTGACCATCACGTATATCCCATAGCTTTTAAGTTAAGACAATTAAAAAAACACATACGTTTCACAAAGATTTCATCAATAAAGATACATTTTTAAATGAATCAGCCAGTCATATACAATATAGAATCTGGGACATATGTGTATAGATTTAAATTATAACATCATATCAGCAAGACGGGATAGAATTATAAAAAAACAGATAAGTTGTAAAAAAAATTAGGCATAAACAATACGGTTTGAAAAATTAGTGAACTAATCGAACAGAAAGTACAAAATAATGTTGAAAATCAAGATCTAAGGGAAGGAAAACAGTGAATGAATCTGAACCACTGTGATCGATACTTAACCATGTTGCCTAACGTCTTTTAAACATTGGTCATGATTATTACAAGGAATTTAAATAGGTAGCCTACACTTGCAAACACAGCTTACTTTAATAGTCAATGAGTTCATGGGATGATGCTACATCTTGGTTTAACAGTTATCTTCCAGCCTAGTCAAACGTAATACAGATCCCAACCGCCTTAGTCAATGAAAACTCACTACATCAACAACTGATTTATTATTAAGTGATATTCTGAATCTAATCTCAGCAGTGTTTACTCAAAGGTTCCAATATACGCGAGAAATGCTTTGAAGACATCTGTGATCAAATATTAGTAACTTACAAGTGTCATTCATATATGTACCTTACGTTAATTGTCATCATAACTTAACAAACCCTAACTTGATCTATAAAATTATAGAAATTTCCAAAAACAAAGCAAAACACCGAAAACTATTTCAATCTAAAACTCATAATTTGTTAGTGTGAATAACCTTGAAAGAAATTTGATCAGTGTTAAATAATACATAACTGGATAATATTCATTGTAAAAACATTTGACATTTTATTTGAAGAGATAAAATAAAGCAAAGTAGTCCATAAACTTCAAGCAATAGGACAAAATAAACAGTATCTGTCCAACAACATAAGAAAACAAAGTTTTAAAAAATCATTATTTATTACCATTATTATTAAATCGATCTAATAATTAAAAAATTTGTTTTCATATTCGATACACATATTTTAGTGAGAGTTAGTTGTAATACTACAACTAAAGTAGATGGATTAAAACCTAAAAGCTAAAAGTTGAAAGTTCAATGGTTTAACTACGAAAAACTAAAACTGGTGCCAATAAAATATTATTATTACCAATAAAGTCAGTAGTTTCTCAATGTACATTGCTAATTTAGGTATTAACATGGTTGATTGAAAAAGAATTTGAAAAATATGGAAATGCTGTTCTTAGCGATAATTTTTTGCACGATAATAAATAAAAGATAATAATAATCGATGGCATTAAATAACTGCAGCGCTATATCGTGAACCGATCAAAGTTACAATGAAGAAAATTGGATTCATAATAAGTGGTTTGAAAGTAAAAGGTTAGGCACCAAACCTTAAAGTACTGCGTCCGATTCCCAATGGTGTCGCGGATGTTCCCTGGTGAGGAAACCTGCACCGAGACGGAACAGTTTATTCTTCTCTGGATTTTAATGACATATAACTGATGTCAACCAGAGAAAGATGCAATCTATAAATGTAATATTGGGGTATGTGTTACTTATATTGACAAAAGTAGTATATGATGTTAGTCGTGAACAGAAGGTCTGGCAGCAGAGTTTGCCTATGTTGAAGTTTATTAAGCCCTTGAATTAAATTTGATAGGCAGTGTCACTTGTGTCGGCAATAATTTGCATATATCGTTTCATTACTATTCCCAGGCTTTAATGATCATGTATGATTGACCACGTGTTACATCCTAGACATATACTCCTCTCCTAGGCTAAATGTTGGTTACTCAAATCGTGCTCGGTGATGGTTTTATCTATGCTGTGCACAAATAAACTATATTCACCGCTTTATAATGTCGTATAAAGTTTATACATAGATGAGGAATTAGTATAATAACGGTTATCAGAACCATTGATGTAGGAAGTGTAGGAAATATCTCAAAAGTATTCCACTACAACTAAATCTCGTAATATGAAAGGATAACGTTTATTACCTTTTCATTGAAAGCTTTTGTTATAATCAGATTTAAAGTATTTGGTAAAAATAATACAGTATATGGATGCAAGATTAACCGATTTAACGAATATATTAACAATCAGTGGTATCAATAGTAAGCAAGCTTTTTTGCATTGGAATTTTCATTCAGGTTATTTCGTGATGATCGATGGATAGGAAAACTTAGTAATTGGAAAACTATGAAGACATAAAATAATTAGTTGTGTTCTTCTATAGATAAAATGTATCTACATTTGAGTATTGTCCATGTTTATCAGTTAATTTCTTTTGGATTTATTTTTCCTTAGATGAGTTGGTAGAACAGAATGACATCTTAAGGTAAAAAAAGCATCTTTTTTCCGTAGTATAGATTTTTTCGTAACTTGATATGATTTATTCCTTAAGTACAAATTCGTGGAATTGGCTTTGACTATATTTGTGTAATGGAAGCGAGTGGAACGGGTTTGTACCTGGAACTAAGTAGTTGGACTACTAATTAAATCACAGTTCTATTAAGACACGTTAACTAAAACGAAGAGGCTGATGTGATCTAATCACATCACTATGATTCACACTTGAGAATTTTTTTTCTTCTAACAAACCAAACGATCGATCAGCATAATACTTAAAAAAAGAGGTTAGTATCATTGGTTTTTAACAACAGTTACCTAGACCAGCTTAGTAAGCAGTAGAAAAATTAGTATTAAGTTATTTTACCGTTATTTCCCTGGAAGAAGGGATCTGAGCGTGAAATATATTCGTATGATTAGATATTTTTATTTGTGAGGTATGGGCAATGTTTGCCGAGCCAAAAATTAAAAAAAGTATATGAACGGACATGCAAAGCGTTAACGTTAAACAGACAGGCATTCATTGCATTGGAAACCAGAGATGGAATAAAATTTTAAGCCAGGGGTAGAAAGAATGAGAGATAGAAAGACAAGGCAGGCGCATAAGAATGGTCGGTAAATAGACAATATCGATCAATAAAAAAAAGAAATCGAAAAGCAATGTTACTGGCCTGAACAAGGTTTTATATCCCAAAGCTATTATATCAGCTTACTTTATATTGATTAAATATCAGAAACGCGTGAGCAATTAGTTGATATATATATATATATATATATATATATATATATATATATATATATATATATAGCACGTGTTTATATTTATTTCTTTGATATTTTTCGAAGTTCGAACTGGTGACCGTGTACGCCCAAAAACCAGTACACATGAGTAAAAAAGAATTAACTACTACTTACTATAGCAACAGAGGTTGGTTAATTAGATGAAAATAAGAGAATGCGTGTGAATTTCAGCTTTATTTCATGACAACCATAGACAAGGATAAATTTTTCAGGGCGTTTACAGTGAACCTTTATAAACGATAAAAAAATTCTTCCTATTTCCATCAAACAAAAGTGAAGCTTTAAAAAAAGACTAATTTTAGAAATGAACATAATTACTACTAAGATTATGCCAAAATTATATCAAATTATTGAGAATGAAATTTAAATAATAGAAACTAACTTTTGCCGATGCATCACAAGCTCCTGAAACAAATGTCCGTAGATCAGGTGCTACACTAAGACTCATTACATCGCCTGTATGACCTGTGAAAGTAGCAACTTGTTGCCCAGTTTCAATATCCCAAAGTCCACTATAAGAAAAAGAAATATAGCACTGTCAAGATCATAATGACATAAACTCTTGAAGATATATATTCATTCACAAACAAAATGTACTGATGAAAATAATAAAAAACTACAATAAATGATAGAAAAAAGTGTATCACAAACATGTACTTTCTTATTTATAGAAAGCATTAAATATCATACTAAAAATTTTGGTATAATTATAAATGTTTGGACATTTGATTATGTTAACAACTTCATCATTCTTTAAGTTTGGTTTTAATGTTCGAAGTTTTCGTTTCGATAAAAATCTCATAACTAATGCAACTTAATAATCAAGCTGCTTCGACTAAATGACGTCAAAAATGAAGTGATTACCTTTATAAAACTATCATGAGCTTATCTATAATGAGGTATGTGAGGACTTTTCCTGGTACCGATAGTAGTGTTTTTCCACTATTTTCTCACATTTTCTCAGATCTTTCTTTAGTATGTTGATGAGGTATCCCTCTCCCCAGTCTGTCGGCACATGTTCTTCCTTCCAAATCTTCCTGAATAGAACGTGGAGCATCTTTGCAGTTACTTCTATGTCTGACTCCAGTGCTTCAGTTGGTATACTGTCAGATCCTGCTGCTTTCCCACTCATTTGTCTGATAACCGGCTATCCTGATTTTCTCTATCGATAGTGGAGAGATATCCATAGGGAGGTTTGTAGGTGATGTTTCGGTGTCTGGTGGATTCAATCGAGCTGGCCAATTCAAGAGATCCTCGGAATATTCTATCCACCTGTTCCACTGTTCTTGAGTTCCAATGATTGGCTTGCCTTCTTTGTCCTCGACTAGTTTCTCTGGTTGACTATATTACCCTGTCAGCTTCCTCATTGTGTCATATAGGTGTTTCATATTTCCTTCTCATGCAGTTTTCTACTATCCTTCACATAGTTCTGCTTGTCAACCCTAAGGCTCCTCTTCAATTGCTTGTTTGCTTATGTGTATTCAGCTTGTGCTTTGACTTTGTCTGTTCTTGTTCAGCTGTTGTTGGTTGCTGTCTTTTTGTTCTTGCTTTCTCGAATCTTGTCCAGGGTTCCATAGAGATCCATTCCTCATAGTGATGCTTCTTGCGGTCCAGAACCTCCTGACACTTTGGAGTCAGTGCTTCATTGATACCTTTCCAAATATCCTCCATGGTGGTTCCCTCTTCTTCGATTAGAGTTTGTAAGGCTTGGAACCTGTTGTTGAGAGTCAGCATGAATTCGTTGAGTTTGTCAGTATGTCGAAGGAAGGCTGTATTAAACCTTTGTAATGCTGTTTTTCCAGTTGTCCAGTGCTTCTCCAGATTCCTGTAAAATCTGTTAGGTTGGAGGCTGATGAATTTTAAAACTGGATAGAACCTCATTTGACTTTTACTGTGTACGTCTACTTAAGAAATGACGAGTATATTGTATATCTCACTTCGTACTACTTTTCGCATGTAAAACAAAACCGATGAAAACGGAAAACATGTAGATTTTGTTATCTTATTGGAGATATCTTCAAAACATTACTCGCGTAAAATGGAGCAAATGAGTGGAAAATAGTGAAGTTAAATGTGAAGTACTAGGTACAGACGGTGAAATCAGTTAATAAAACTGTGGACATTCATCGACTGCAATAGTTTAGATATATGTAGCTCATTCCTAGCTACTGTCTACCTTGAGGTGATATTTGTGTCAGAGAAGTAGAGTGATTATTGTTAGCCAAAATTCAACATAGTATTATTCATTGGATAATAAACTGACCCGGAGAATAAAGAATAAAAATATGTAAGACCAATAACTTCATAACCAGACTGGTGAAACCAAATACACATTCACCACTGTCATTATTTATTTATTTATTTATAGCACAGTATTCCTGATGCCGTAAGGCACAAAAAAATATTTGCAAAAGTGACAGTAAGTTGAACAAAAAATCACTATACAAATAAACAACGAGGATCCCTGACGAAAATATAGTTTCGTTGAAAGTAAAACTGTAACAGATTTCTTCCAAGTGAGGACGGTAATCTTACTTTTAGGAGAAATTTGACGTGAAGCTACAGCAGGATCGCTACCAACTTCTGAAACTTTTTAAGTCACTGTTGTCTACAAACAAGGGTCCCAATCGGGAAGTCTTGGTGTACCAGGAGACCCCAATCCGATACAGTCACTTTTTTTATACCACAGGTACATGTCATGAACTGATTTCCTTCCCACCTAGGTTTAGAGTTAGAGTATGATATTAAATTCACCGGGATGACGTTTGCAAACCATACCTAAGACGCCAAAGTTGGTGCCTTAAGATGGTGATTACAACTGAAAAATCATTATGCCGTCCAAACATCTGCGTTATTAACGTTGTGTTGATACTGGATATCAGCAGTGCTCCGGAGGAAACAGTGGCTGAACATAGAGTTGCTACACATTCTCAGCTAGGAGGATTCGGCTTTCACAACTATAGAAAGTAATTGATCTTAAAGAATCATTGGATGTTCAATCTTTTTTTTCAGACAGATCGCCATTTGTACAAACACAAACATTTTAATTCAACCAATTTAAACAGCACATGCAAATACTAAGTAAAATATCTACTCTTATTGGAATAAGATATAGCAAAAGAGTCACTTAGTTAACTGCATAAGAATTTACTAAAATATTCTGATAAACAGTAAAAAGGAAGAGTTTAATTTTTCGTTATCATTTTTTGGTAATCTTTTTAAAATGTAATGGTTTTATTTATATTATACATTTTTACGGGTAAATAGATATAAAATGTTCAGTCGACTAAACACTATCAGCATAGAAATATATATAAGACTCAGATTATACCATAAGTAATCCGGAGAAACATATAAACTGAAAGAACGCGAACTATTTTAAATACAGTTGATCAGTATGACATAATAAGTCAACAAGGTTAGTTTTATTTAATAAATATTTGCTTTTTATGAGTTATTAATAATGTACGGTAAGCCTTTTTTTTTAAATACCCTTACTATTTTACTTAGAAACTAAGAATAATTTTTAATGTTATCAACTTGCATTGCAGTCAGTCAGTCAGCTACAACGTAGGACCAGGCACATATGTGCATCGGTCCAGGTTGCCATACCTCATTAGCACAGCAAGATGAACATCGGATTCATAGGAGTGGTAAAGTCAAAGGTGGTAATATATGGGAGAAAGATTGCATATAAGGATATAATATAGGAAGAAAGAATTAGTTAGTAGAAAGAATGACATGGAGCGATTTTAATCTCTTAGTTTAACGTAAGACAGATAGTGTATACACCGACGCCATTGTGATCGATTCTGAGCCATGTCACCAAGAGTCTCCAACCATTGGTTACGATAGTCACGCGGACCCCGACCAAGTAGTCTGCATCTACCAACATGGCTCAGACTACAAGTTAGTGACTTCAAGCACTGATGCCACGTTTTGGTTTGGCCGCCCCTTACTTTCTTCCAACCATCTACAACACCGGTTAGCATTGCACGCCGTGGTAATCGGTGCTCAGGCATACGCAACACGTGGCCCAACCATCTCAGTCGATGATGATTCACAACCTCATCAACTGATTTACCATCATTCCCTAATACCCTGCATCTAACCTCACTATTGCTTACCCGGTGATCCCAGCAGACGCCAGCAATATTTTTAAGGCATCTGTGGTCAAATACTAGTAGCTTACGGATGTCATCTACTCTTAAAGGCCATGTTTCGCTGCTGTAAAGTAGGACAGAACGGACTGCCGCGCAGTATACTCGTCCTTTTATTGATAGACGGATATCTCGCCTTCGCCACAGGTGACGTAAGTTGGCAAAGGCCAAACGAGCTTTTCGAATCCGTGCTGAGATTTCGTCCGATACCAATCCATTAGGGCTGATCAGACTTCCAAGATAAGTGAAGTTGTCAACGCGTTCGACTACTTCACTCCCTATCCTTAGTTCAGGTGTTGACATAGGCCAGTCCTGAAGCAACAACTTGCATTTAGAGGGAGAGAAGCGCATTCCAAACATTCTGGCATTGTTGCTCAGTGCTACCAAAAGACTCTGTATTTTATCAGCGTCTTCACCAAACAGGACTATGTCATCTGCGTATTCTAAGTCGATAAGTGGATCTCCTGGAAGGAGATCAATACCTGAGAATTCAGTCGACGAGAATGTTATTTCCATCAGTAGGTCTATGATGAAGTTAAACAGAAATGTAGAAAGTGGACAGCCTTGACGGACACCACTTGAAGTTGCAAAAGATGACAGTTCTCCATAAGCCCTGACTCGACTAGTAGTGTTCGAGTAAAGAGCCTTTATAAGGTTTATGTACTTCTGGGGTACGCCTTTCAATGACAGACACTGCCACAGAATCTCGCGGTCTACCGAGTCAAATGCTGCTTTTAAGTCAAGAAAGACCACCATTGTCGGACGCCGATAAGTATGCCTGTGTTCTAGAACCTGACGAATGGTGAATATGTGGTCGATGCAGCCACGACCAGGTCTGAAGCCTTCTTGGTTCTCTCGTGTTTGCAGTTCACGAGTCTTAGTTAGGCGTTTGATAATTATCGAGGCTAGTATTTTAGATATTATATTAGTTAAACTAATCCCTCTGTGGTTGTCACAGGATGATTTTGACCCTTTCTTATATATTGGGACGATAAGTGATTGCGACCAGTCAGATGGGATAACGTTTAACTCCCAGATCTTAGCTAAAATATTAGTCAGCCTAATCGCTAAAATTGGACCACCATCCTTAAAGACCTCTGAAGCCAATCCATCTGGACCAGCTGCCCTTCCTCGTTTCAGATTAACTATAGCCCTCTCAACTTCAGCAAGAGTTGGGGGACCTACTTCAATGTTCCATTCACACTGTCTGGGAATGGAGAGTAGTTGAAGTCCAGTTGAACTGTTCTCTAAAATGTTCCGCCCATCGTTCTAAACGTCTGGACTGGGAGCAGATGAGAGTATCGTCTTTTTCCGAAATAATCTCACTTACACTTGACTTATTAATTCCAGTTTATTTTAGTAGTCTGTAGAGCTGTCTTGTGTTCCCTATAGTCGCCGCCTTTTCCATCTCTTTTGCTTTCGTTACCCACCATTGCTCACGGTCGTTCCTTAGACTTTTTCTTAACCTAGATCTGATTTTTTGTCGCTCTTCATCATGTTCAGAACCTGATGGAACGAGTTTGCGAGAATCCATCAGTGTGATAGGCCTTGAAGAAATCCACTGGTTCTTTGTAACTCTGTGGTTTAATTCACTAATAGATGTCACTGCTGTTTCCACAGCTGATTGTATGCCTATCCAAGCAACATCTGGGTCAACCTCGTCTTCCGAACTATCTAAGTGTGACCTCAGTTGTTTCTGGAACCTACTTTTGGTTTTCTCGTTACTCAACTCAGTTCTAACGGGTCTTTTTAATGTGGCATTTTTACGTCCGGTGAGGCGCAAGCAGATGCGTGCCCGTATTAGGGCGTGGTCGGAGTCCAAGCAGGTGCTCCAGAATGAGCGACAATCTTCTACCGACCCTCTCCAACGATGACTGATGGCAATATGGTCTATTTGAGTCCATCGTTGGTTTGGTGTAGGGGGTCGCCATGTTAGACGATGTATCTCCTTATGCTTAAAATTTGTGTTTGCTAAAAATAAGCGATTGTCTGAGCACAGTTGCAGCAGACGATCACCATTATCTGTTCGCTGTGCCGGAATGCTAAAATATCCACCTAAATGCCTTTCTGTTTAGTTTAAGCTACCTATCTGAGCATTAAAGTCACCCCCTACGAGTACTATGTCTGAGCGTTTAGCTTTCTGAAGAAGTTCAGAAAGCTTTCTGTAAAATTCATCTTTCACATCATCTGAGCTTCAGTCAGTGGGAGCGTAGGCAGAAACGACAAAAAGGCAACGACGTGTGTCCCTATCCTTCCGAGTTCATACGGAGCCGTTTAGCCAAACAGCACATAGACGACTGTTGACGGGGATCCACTCTAGCAGTGCTTGTTCCGCCCTCATGCTTAGTGCTATGCCTACACCTGACAGTCCACGAGAACTGGCCATCGGGTCACCAGATACACGAAGGGTGTATCTCGTTGGCTCTCCGTTTTGCCGAGGTGAGGTCAAGTGAATGGCCACACTGGGATCCTGTGTGCGTGTTTCGGAGACACAGCATACATCGATGGAAAGAGACTCTAGGGTTTTAGCCAAGGAAGCCTGCTGACCGATTTGACATAGAGTGCGTATGTTGAAAGCTCCAATGTGTAGTTTGGAGCGAGGTTTCAGTAGACCTGGGACAGAGTTTTGAGCACTAGAATCGTTGGCTATGGTGACACTTGAGGAAGAAGCCGAAGGAGGAAGTTTAGGGTTGAAAGTCGATGTAGGAGGAATAATAGGAATTGAAGAGGAAGGTTGATTATGAATACAGTGGTCTTGGGTGCTGTTAGAGGTATGAGGGCGGTTATCACTTCCCGGCTGCCCACACCGTGGAAGGGTTCTTCTGGAGGTACCTGAAAAGGAAATTGGATAAGAGGCGATCTCAGCGACCTGAGAGCTTGACCGCAGTGCCCAAGGGACAACTGCTTGAGGCCGGTCGCGCACGGCCTTTTCGTGGAAGGTTTTTGACGTGTTAGCTCCGTTCTTCAAAGAGCCTTACCGCCGGAGACGGATATCCGTGAGGTAAGGCGAGGTGTGCATTTTTAGGGTCGACCTTTTCTAACCCCACCCCTCCTTGTGGGAAGGCAGCATCGCTGTCATGCTGGTTGTCAGAAGGAAACACCTTACTGCTGTAACACCTCTGTACAGTCATCAGTACGACTTCGCCTTCGGACCTTGGGTTTGTTGCTTTTAGTCTTACCGCTCTCCAAATGACCTGTCTGACATGGTAGGACCTTGAGGAACGGTTGGTCCAGCCAGTATAGCTCGGTTGCTTCATCACGATAGGCAAGCCCGACCACCACGTCAAGGTAGCAACAACGGTCAAGAAACTTGCATTTAAGAAACAAATATTGATTAAAATGTTTACGGGATTGTACTTAATAGATTGTTTCATAGAAAACATGATGAGTGAAATATTTTACAGCTACATAAATAAGCTTTCGAATAAAGAAAAGATTTTAATTTACATACATTCTAGGTTGTTAACAGTAATGCTTGAAAGTGAAATAATAGATAGCTGTCTGTGTATATTAGATTCGATAAAAGCGACTGATATGCTTTAAATTTCATTGCTCCAAAAACATTTACAGAATGAATAATTTTATAGAAAATGATACTGTATCTTGCTATTGGCAATTAGCAGTCATTCCTAATGAATAGATATTGCGATCCACCTTGTAAACTAATTACAAACTGAAATTATGGTAAATAAATCAGAATAAAATGTAAAGAACTTCTTTTAATAGCATAACACAAGAAAAAATTGAGTGAATCACATGACACATACCAAGTTACATCACCAGAACTTGTCACAATTTGACTATCATCAAGAAAACGACAACATGATAAGTATCCTGTATGTCCTGGAAGCTCACGACTGACACGTACATTACCTTCGCGTGTTTTAAGATTGTAAATGGAACAAATGTTGTCCAAACCACCACATGCGACATAATTACCGGAAGGTGCATAGGCACAGGTCATGACCCAACTACTTCTTAGAGGAATGGCATGAACCTACAACAGAATTTTGACATGAAATCGAAACTAGTCATTACTTGCACAGATAACGATAAAACGCTGGAATGTGTAACAAACAACTAATTAAAAATGAAAACTAACTTAGGATATGAATACTACATCCTTACATTATCAATCTACTTGATGAACTTACAAGTTTCTGAGATGGTGACCTGATTAAATAATTTTTAAAAAAAGCAAATATAGTCAACGCAAGCAAACAGAAAACAACGCGGATCCAAAAAAACATTATTAAAATAAATACATTCAATTTAAGAAAAGTTTTCGGATTCCCAGTGTCAATCTCACTTAAAATAATTAAGTAGGGATACAGCAGAAACGAACTACGATAATACTGAATTACGTGAAATACAAAAAATTAGATGAAAATATTTACATAATTTACGATTCTGTATAGTATATTTATATTTTCTAAACAAACTTGTTCTTGCCTTATTAGTAGTATACCCGTCCCAAACTATAAGTTTGCCATCTTGTGAGGCAGATACAAGATTGCGCGAATCAGTGCTCCAATGCATAGCATAAATTTTGGCCAAATGGCCGCGTAAAGTACGACGAGTACGCAACTGAATTCGTCCCACCGGCTCCACGTTACTAGATGCTTGAAGTAGCGTAGTATCAGCTGCAGCTTTGCGGGCCTCCTAGCAAACAAAAAAGTAGTCGATAACAATAATACAGACAAAAACAAACTGACTAGTAGAATATAATTCAACAGAAAAGTAAAGGTTTCTATTTACTGTGATAAAATAAATTACCATATTCAGATAAAATATTATGAAATATATTTTTCAGTCATTAGAAGAAAATTACAGTTTATACTTTTTAAAAGTTTGAACACTTTAAACCCTATCAATTTCAATAACTTAAATATTTCCTTTGAAAAACTATAGATATTTCTACACCTCACCCAAATAATCTACACCTACGCCACGTAGTGGTAGTTTGTTGGCTTTAAACCAGTTACGAGTTCAGACTATGCACTACCTACTTCAATCCCATTGACTTTACCATAGTAGTGTAGTTCAGAGCCGACTAAATAAATCTTTACTTGGTAAAAAAAAGCGGAGATTAGATTGGAGCAGAGGTTTATAAAATATCGATAAGATAAAAGGATTTTTAACTTTATTCACAGTAAACTAATTTACGTATACGGTAGAATAATAATAAGAATATTAGAGAAGTATTCACGGATGAAACTTGAGCGGTGTAAATAAGGAATGTTCAGTTCCCATTCAGTCGAACAAGAAATAAAAATACAAAGACATACATACAGACATTTATAATATACACCTTGCTAATGATTTGCACGATGGTAATGTAATATTTTTTCTCTTCTCGAGACAATAAAGCTTTCCTATGAAAATCAGCCTTCATTCTCTGTCTTGTTGTGAACGAACGATGAATAATTAATGTATTCGAGTCCCACTTTAAACACTTCGTAATTGTATTCTTGAAAATTACTACTTTCCCTGTAGTGACTGAATTTGTACACTGAACAGAATCAAGCGGTATAACTGAAATTGTACCATAGTCATATATTTTAAGCCATAGGCACAGTTAAAAATCCTTTATAATTTAAAGGAAAACATCACCATATATTTATTTACACAATTAACAACACTATTACAAGTTTTGTTGATAATTTCAGTGAATTGAGTTAGAGTGATAGAGTATTTAAGTCATAAAATAATGTAGACAGTGAATATATCAACATTAGTATTTAAATATTTGAATTCATGATTCGATCTAGGTTAGACCACCATTGAAAACCTAGAAGCACTAGATGGCTGTTTCTTCCTAGCACGGGACTCATCAGTAGTGCGCACCTATGATCCAGCATGCTGGACTCAAACACAGGACATTCGGTTTCAGGCGCGAACACGTAATCCTTAGACCACTGAGCCGGAATCTAACGATGTTGATGTCTAACTTCAATGAATCCATGATCTTACGGATTGGACTCCACTAGTTACGGCTTCGGCTCATGAATTCAATTATTAAAATTACTACAATCTCCACAATACCTCATTCTAATAATATTAGCATTGACTTAGAAGAGTAGTACTAATTTACAATTTATCTCATTTATAATGGTAAACAACAAATCTAAGCAGGTTTCAGTTTCCACTGTGACTGAAATCAATAATCAGCAGATAATACACAGACCAGTACAATGCTACATTCATATCGAACAGAAAGGATAATCGAAGTAGATAGTTATTAGACGTGCGTAGCTAATTTATTAAACAACCGCGGCTTTTTTAGTGTGCCGAATTTTTTCCGTATTTCCAAGGACATTGTACATGAAATCTGAATGCGTCGCTAGTTTAGATCAGTTTTCATTACCTTCTATTAAGCAAACCTTTCACTACGGATTCGTCCTTGGAGTTGTCGGGGATAAGAGACAAAGAGAATTGTGGTATCCATACATTGAAAATGAAACCAGGAGTGAATCTCGTCAATTTAAGATATCAATTGTACGCTATTTATACTTACCCATCCACAATAAACCAGGTTCAGTCGTTAAATACCTCCCATATATTGATCAACTGACCAATTTATGCACATGGTTTTCCTCAAGCAACTAAATAAGCTCTATCCCAACTAGGTTATTCTGACTGTGGCAAAATGTTGATTTATTACTCACACAACATAAACTGTTATTCAATGATATTACTTTCTAACTTAATTTTGTCTGAACAAAAGTTGAATAACTACTTGTACACTGCTATCTATTTATGCAGAAAAATATGTGAAATCTTAGAAAATCATTATTCTTTGTAGCTACCAAGCATAATATCCTCTTTTAGATGCAAAATACCAGCTTCAGTGAATAAATATCACTAGAACTAGGTATATGAAATTGTGTAAGTTAAAACAAAAGTGAAGTTGGGTCGTTGAATTCATTTTGTGTAGCTTGAAAGTACCAGGAAATTCGAGAGCAATGAATGAAAATAAAGATTTCGCTTCCGTAACAACAGGTTCAAAAAATGTCACTTATATTTATCCAAGTGTTCAAACGTTTGATTTCCCCATTCATTTAGCTACACTAGTGAATACATAACCCACGGATTTAAACAAATCATAATAAGTCGATCGTTGTATCCATAGTAGTCCGGTGAGGGAATCTGAAGCTATTTTCTGTACTTGATTCAAAGAACTAAAAAATCATACTTCATTTTCTAAATTACGTGCGGTTACCAAACTATGTAATCTTTTACTTAACATGACCGTGAGTAGCTTAGTACAGAGAAGCAGTTTTAGTAAGACTGGTTGTCTAAATCATGTAAATGTCATTTAGCACATGTCAAATTTTGCAAGTAAGAAGTATAGTTTAAAATTGTTCATACTAACAATTTTAACGAAATTTCAGATGTTCAGGATGCACAGAAGAGGAAATCTGAGATTTTCAGGACTAGAGAAGTTTCTGCTTGAATTACATATTTATACGAACAAAAGTTGTCTGTCTTTTTGTCAAGGAATAAATTTTGATAAGTTATCATGGAAATTAAAATTGAAACCGATCCATCAATAATGCTTAGTCCCTCGTAGTAAATTTACGCGTTTACTGTTATATTTTATAAACAACACGTTCAATTATAGAGGAACAAAATGCGGCAGATAACATACTAACGTTTTTAATCAAATATTAGGTTAAGGAATGATGGGAAGTAAAACTTGATATTTAACTGCGTAATATGATGAAAAACGAAGATTAAATTGCTGCATCACTGTTGTATCGAGTATATAGTAAGTCAGCCCTTGAAAATATAGTACATGATAGCAACATTACAGCTACGAAGAGTCTAATTTATAAGACTATAAGTAAAACCTACTGATGGAAATACAATGGATATTCTGTGAACGTTCAAGATTAAGTACATGGATCAGGGTTTAAACCCTTAAATTAGTAGAGGAAACTCTAATGCCTAATATATTAATTGAATAGAAAAAAATAATTAATACGTTGGACTGGTAGAAAATGAACAGAAACCACCGAATATTGGGAATAAGCACAATCATAAACAATGAAAGCTGATATTCATATCATTATTTTCCATAACTTAAAAAATCGAGTTTTATCCATTACGGATTATACGTTTTGATCACGGTGAATGATACATCGACCGAAAACTGAATTTAAAAAATATTTCAAAATACAAATAAGCTATGGATATCAATGACATTTCAAACTAACTAATTTTATATGACCTTATGGCCTCAAAAAGTGAATACAGGTTTACACTGTTAACAACAACTGAACTTCTACCGCAATTCTTACACATATTATCATGTCGATAAGTGTGTAAAGTGAGTTTCATAAACGAATAATTATCGAAGGAACAAATCTGCCAAATTCTGATGAGAAAATATAGCTTCTAAATTGCTAGCATGATAGTAGTGTTCTTCTATAATTAAGTAAATTTACTTATTAAGCATTAGTCCAAATAAATCTATATTCTATTAAATTCACATTTTTCGAAGAATTACGAATGTACATTCCGAATTAGTCACTAAAATTATTTACAAAACAAAATGAAGGTAAGTTGGGTGACACATTGATTCAGTAATGTGGCATATCAAACAGCAATCCACCAATTCAACTAGTCATGCATTTCAACAGCGCTGACGGGAAATTAATAACAATGTTTGAAATAATCAAGGAAATAAATCAACATCGAAGGAAGAAATATGGAAACATTACACATTCGAGAAAGATTAAACAAGCATTTTAATGATTGATACGCATTTACTGTATGATGAAATACTTTTAGTCCTGATTCGTTTGATGGTGAGCACTTTTTGTTTTCTTTTGAGCTCCAGTCAACACAAAAGATAAATCTTGTTAGGGCTTATAGGAAACCAAGGAAGACATATTTAAATTAATAACTACTGTGAATGGAAATTTGCAGTGAAAAAAAATCAGATTAAAAGGGTCACTTCGAGTGTGGCAAATATGAAGGACATCTGTGGTGTATGGTATTTATGTCGACAGATATAAGTAGTATATAACACATGGGAAGTAAAAACCTGGCAGCAGATAACTGAGATCAAGTTATAGAAAAAACAGAAACGGAAATAAAAATGAATTGTGACTTGGTAGAATCATACCGAATGTGAAGGACAAATAATGAAATTTCGCAAATCAAGTATTCAATGTATAGTTCTCATACTTGACCAAAGTATTCTGTGATGTACTAACATACATGCAGTCGTCCCCATTTGAGTGTCCATTCATTACACATCTAACATAGAAATGGGTGAAGATCTAAATTAATTAAAATGTGACAAAATTGTAGATAACTGAACTAGTTTTGAACGACCGAATCAAACAAAACAGTGATTAACAGGAATATAACCTGCAATTAGGTAGTGAAAAATGTTATGAGACCTAGAAATATGGTAGAGTAAAAGATATTACACAATAAATCCTGGCAACATAGATCAGATTGATTTCGTTAAAAATAACGTTTTTTGTACTCATCACGATTATTTTAGTCGAGAAAGCACTCTTGATATTTTCATAGATTCCTAGTTTTAGACTTTTAACATAGAAACGGATAAAAGTTGTTTTATACCTAGACGAAAACAAATAATCATGAGTAATGAGGCTTGAAGCCAATGTTCGGCTTTCCGTAAGAACCACACTGACAGACAGACAAATATTGATATAGAGCACGGCACAGATTTGAGTTGGCTTAAGTTCTCACATCGTATTAGCACGAGGAAATGAAAACGATATGATGAATTTTAAAAGAGATTGAAGTATTATGGTAGCAATAGTGATCTGAAAGATTAAACACTCAGAATTTGGCTCGAAAAAGAACTACATTGAGGTATTTATATATTCCGTGAGGAAATGTGAACACAGTTAACAAAAAGGTTATAATAGATTACGTAATATGAATAATAATAATAATAACAACAATAGATTTAGTGATTATAATAAGATGATTATTTATATATTCTCAAGAGTTTAATTTCAAGAAAATGCGACTATAGAATACCTTGATATTAACTATATGACTATAGGTGATATAACAAAATCACAGACTTCAAAAAGTTTTTACTAACAGACTCACCCTGATCATATTTTTGAGTTGTTCACTTTCTTGCCGTAGCTGATCCAGTTCACTCATTTTGGATGAAAAACTTAGCGGAAAAGAAAGTTTGATTATAAATAAACCAATAAACATACAAATGTGAACAATTTAATAGAACAAATTCGAAATCTGAATTACTGTGCGCCTGTGAATATGGTAAAATTACAGCAAATGAATCCTCACGTTAACATGGTTTCATCATTTTTATCTCACTGAGCTCGAGAAGACTCAAGAACAGAGGCTTATGATCATTATAATGAAATATAGTGTACAGTACCCATTCGAATTTAAACTTCAATCATAGTGTTACGGTACGGACACAGATTCACTTTATCAAGGGTTTAAGGAACCGGATAACATTGTTACACGGAAAAGATGTAGCTCACGACTTAGTAAATGAAACTGTATGAGACTGGTGATTTCTATTTTAATAAAGTTTCGAAAAATTGTACAAGATACTTCAAAAATATGTTGGCTTCTGTATACTGAATTACGGTGATGCCGGAAATTCGTTATACAAAATTCAAAACACCACATCTTAAAAATATGCAAAAGCAAGAACTATTCATAATCCATAGCTTCAGACAAACGTTTTAGATTCTCTACATGAAATAAAACCCTTTGTGAATTGTTTCATGACTGGGTAGAACAGATAAAAAGTAAAATAACGCCACTTCTAGAAAAGAGGTTGATTTAACTAATGAGCAGCAGACGATGCACATATAGTAACCATATGCGAATTTATTGCTTGACTGATTCTCTTACAGACATAGAACAAGATTGCTAGTCATGTTAGTACTAAATGTGCCTTAAATGGAAAGTCAATCAGTATGTTACCACTAGTCGTCCAGTGCTTCATTGTAAAAGTGAAGTTAGGCAAGATTAAGAAATTATTGACAGCAATAATATCACTGATTCCCTTGCCCCCAAATGCCCTGGTATGGCCGAGAGTGGAGTGGGCCCTCCCTCCCTCTCTCACACGACCACGCGTATACAGACTCTGCCATGGAAGTCCTACTCACTGCCTTCTCGTGGCGGGAGTATTGTTTACGAAATTGAGAGGACGAAAAGCGAATGTCCGGCGCTTTAACCGGATTCCAAACCAATGGTTCACATGGACTCTAGCATCCTGTGGGAACAAATGGCGTATGAATCAACCGTCGGTCACCGACTACCATGAAATTGCATCTCCTCACGATGCTCCACTGCCTTGTGGGTTAGACCTTTAAGTCAAAGGCTTGGGGTGTGTCCCCCTAAGAAAACCACCTGCTTCGGTCTAGGCACTCGAACAGTAACCCAGCCCTCACACAAATCGAATGATTTATGTGGCGCATATATGTTTGGTGTCCTCTTGTATCAATATTTATGTGTTCGAATAAAAAAAATATGAAGAAACCCACTATATCTCGTTAAAATAGTTTGCAGTTTGATGAAGAACACAAAATATTCAGGGACTTATCAATCAATATAACAAATAAACTTAATATGGCTACCAAATAACCCTACATATTCGAGACCACGGGTATTACGCAGATGGCAGGACTTCGTCAGAATAGTACACTTCAGGGGACCTACAGCAAGATATAGATGCGCCTATATAATAAAGTTAGAAACTAGCAAATGCTACTTATGTTCCCCCATTACCTCTAAAGCTGGAAACCTTTTGCGCTCCAAGTGACATATCTAAAACTTAATCGGAATAATGCAGAGAATAATTATCTCTGTAGGTCTTGAAAATAGTATTTTTTTCATACAACTGACACCCTGATTTAATGTATTTCCTTTTTCTTATCATTTCCAGCTATTCAGTCCTTTCGATATCATTAGTGTTACACACTTTTCTTTAATATGGTGACAAGAAAAGTAGCTACCAGGATTGACAGGTTTACGTTGGACGCAACTTTGTCTAAGTGTGAGCGATTAGAATCTGTAGTTAGTGTTAGGGTTTGGAATTAGGACAAGGGATATCACAATGAAAAGACACCGGCTATAACGTCGAAATGCTATTTGGCCATTTGGATGCATGGACTTCGCGCCAACATCCAGGTCTATCTATACTAAATCTGATCTGTTCGTCCATAAATTACAGTCTTACCCGATTCTTTTGGATGTTTATCGAAAAGCATAAGGGTATAAAACAACACCTAATGCGTCTAAATATCATTTTAACGTTAGGCGAGAAGGAAAAAGCTTGATACATGACACAACAACCGATTAAACGTGACTTTATGCCACTATACTTACGAAGTTTACAAATACAAACTCCGAGGTTTATGGATATATATATAGGGTTTCATAAGCGATAACGTATCAAAATGTCTACACAGAATAGTGGAGTGAATAGTACGACGGATTCCTAGTCATCTTCGAAGGAACAGAATAAACTGATTTTGGGTAGAAATAAATGCCTGAAGTTTGTACTGATGTCGTTCAGAATGATGAAAGCTTCACGACCAAACCATCCAGTTTAGAGAACAAAACCACATCAAAAATAAATGCACTACTATAATTGGCTTGTATTTCGACTATATGAAGATAAATTCTTAAACTAAAGTATCCCAAGACTCAAAAGCATTTTCTAATGTGACAAGTAACAAGCTGCAAGATAGTGATAAGTGTATTAACGGGTTAGAAAGTTAACTAGGCAATATAATTGAATCTATATTTCGCTTACGTACAGTAGAAATAATAAGAATAGCATTGATGATGATTATATACACCTTATAAGTTTAACTCAGTAGCCATATGTATGAAGACTAACTTTTAGATTCAACCATTTTACAACATTTCGAAATTGTCACCCGGTACAGAAATTCTACTTACTTTTTGTTTAGTCGTATTTATGTATTAATTCTTCAATTATGCAAATTTACTGAACTGGCATAAAGTCTGACTACTACCAACTATTTCTATTGTAATCACTTGATGGACATGTGCATATTTCTAATGAGTGGATCAATTGTCTATGACAATTGATAAAGCGGCGAGATTATCATTAATGGACGAGCCAACCAGACTTACGACAACAGGTCTTAGATTTTGGAGCTAAATTCATTAACTTATTTAGCTAAATAGATTCTTGACATTATAGCTTATATCAGTTTGAAATGAAGAAACCCTAAATCTAATTCTTAACCCTAACCATCATAATCCTTATTCTTCAAACTGCCTTACAACCCTCATTTAGCGCTAGTAAGTACGTAAACACTCGCAATTTCACTTCAGAGTCGCTCAAAGGTCGTCCATAAATTATAGTCTCACCGGTAAACCTCGTTACAGAATAATGCCATAGAAAATACTTTTTAGCTATTTATTTGGCACTTGACGCTCACAAAATATATCAGAGCACTTTTTACAGTGAGAGATGTCAAGTAATATGAAATTTATTATATTTGAACCACGTTTCTCCCTTAATGTTTATAAGTTTAAGTAATATGTAGTGGGTGAGTAAGTTTTAAAAAAGCATAAATTACGAGTGTAACCGCAGTGCTAAGATACGTACTAAGAAAATTAGTAACACAGAATCTTAAACGGATTCATCGATATTTATTGCGAAAATGTAAGTCCAAATAAGAAAAACAAGTAGTAAAATCGACATCGTACGTATGTTTGTCATTTGAGTTCCTGTAAAACGTCATTGAGCTTATTTTTACTACTAATAACGATAAAGGTTCAGGATAAACAAAACAAAGCACAAAAAGAAAACTTTCTTGAACACTCACTGGAAATCGCGGGGACAACCAACGCAACTCACAAACTAAGCGCCTTAACTGACATATTAGGTTAGGTCTTATCGATATATTACAACAAACACGATGCTTTTGATCATGTTTTGTCATCAGTCTAAATATCCATCAAAGCTTCAATTGACTCATGATTTCAACTTGTGAAATTTCTAAAAATCTCCACAAAACCCATTCTGATAATAGTTATTATTATAACCAATTGTACCAGTGACCGATTTAATGTGCTTTTGTTTATCTGTGCTAAAAAGCATCCATTATTCTTACACTTTGATTGTGAGATCATCAGCGTTGATCGTCTCAAACCAGCACACGTCGATGACAGTGCCCTATCTGATAACTTGAGACTCAATGCTAGGCCTATCAAACCTGGCGGGATCCTCAAACCATCTTCAGGTCCCACGCTAGATACACATTAGACCTCATTCTCATGTCTCAGTCAACAGCACGAGACATCTGCCCCATCCACCGACGAGACGACAGTCTCACGTCCAGATCAGCAGACCGCGCCGCCCTTGACTTCGGATGAAATTGCAAGCTCACGCGATGCGAACTAGACTAAAGTCTCACGTTCCGGTCGCCAAGTACGGTTACCCGTACGCTTCCGTGAATAGTCGCACAGTGAACAACCGATACTGCGTAGGATTATTCCTATACTACACGCAAGCTACACTCTTCTCTTTTTTGATTTTCTTTTTGTTTCCTGAGCCCACGCCTTCGACCATCTCCGTTTGGTTCCGTCGACTTCAGTCAACCTTGGCGAAAGCTGGACTGGCCACCCACGCTCTTGTCAACGCACTCAGTCGAAATATTGGTTTCGAATGCTTGGCATACGCTTAATCTCGAACTTGGTCGTTATGATCGCTTCTGGTTCATCGGCTCAACGTGGTTTCGTCCTACGTCTGCAGCGTTTCTGATCCGCATTCCCTACGAACGCCATCTTCAGATTCTGGATACAAACCACTCGTGTGGCATGCAAACTCAAGCAACAAATACAGCACATCGCTCCTGGTACCTTTCTCCGAGAACGACCTTCGTTGGCAACTCGACGATCAACGATCGCTTTCCTGTTCGCCAATTAATCCATCCTACAATCGCTCGTCATCCGATCAGTTCCACGATTTAAACCTCTATTTATCGAAAGTGTAAACCGTTTCTAGCGGGTGGCTCCAGTAGTGACTCACTTTTATCACGAGAACACGATTGGTTTTTTGAAAACAATTATTAATATAACCAATTGTACCAGTGACTGTTTTAGTGTGCTTTTGTTTAACTGTGCTAAAAGGCATCCATTATTCTTATACTTTGATTGTAACTTCGCGCGAATTCGGTTACGTTCTGTAACCAAGCTTGTATCCTGGCACGATCTCGGTATCCTTTCGATACCACGAGATCGCCAGCAAATATATCTCGACTTGGTCCATTAACTGCCTTCTGATATTTGGCTTTCGGAGGATTTTATGGAATCATTTGGCACGCGTTTCTTGGTAGCTGTGTTCATAGTCCATCTCGACTCGATGCCACGCTACAGATCCCACCTTAGCATCTGCATCAGATCCTCCTTGTTCATTGATGATGCTTCCTGGTTAGGTACGTGAAATTTTCCACCACTCCCAGAGTTTGTTCATGAAGTGAGATTGGGTTGATTGATATTCTCCGAGTTGTGTTTGAGGATGTTGCTTTGAGGCATACTGATGCAGAGGCTGTAGCTACACTGCTTTTCTTGATATGTGTTCAGTTGTGTATATGAATCCTATCCATCTCATTCCGTGCTTTCCCTCAGATATGGTCTTCATAATCCAGTCAACCACCAGAATTAAGGATAAGGGTTGGAGTAAGCAACCTTTCTGACTCCGGTCCTCACTTGAAATGCATCTGTCAACTGATCCCGTGTAAGACCTTGCCGTGTGGTCCGTCTTATAAATTCTGTATGGTGTCGATTTTCTCAAGCACGCCATTGTGTTGACGAAGGTTGAGCATTCAATTTAGCGGTACTATAAATTCGGCCACCAAGACTAATCTCAATACCTTATTAGAGTATGGTCTCAGTGTACGGCAGAGATAAAAATATTTTAAACCGTTTGTTATGTAAAAAAGTCTACTGACTTTCATAGTTCAAATATCTTAACACAATGTGAAATTACCTATATATTATCATTCTTGCACCTATCTTATTATACATTTATGACTGTTTCCGTTTGCTTTTTGTTTAACACATCGTGTATGATGAAGATGCAAATACCAATTCTATAAACGACTGGAAATCTTCAACAGCATATCGCCAGGCGGTGAACTGAAGCTATGTCAGCTCTTGTACTGGTTCTCACGTCGTTCATTTGCTCTGGGGATTATTCCCTGATGAAAATATGATCTATCTGGTAATAATTGGTGTGATCCATGCAAATTTATGAATACATTTTTGTAGGAACATGGTCACCCTATAACCAGTTTGCCGATTGCACATGGATTTGAAAATTTGTCACCATTTTCGTTTGTTTCATCCAGTCAATCCATGTCATCACAAGATATCTTCATATTCAGTGTTATCCAGTCACGATTCGGCCTCTAATAGAACTGAAATCTATTTTCTTCATTTCTGTCATCGGTGAGTGCATGGCACTGAGAAACATCTATAAGAATCCCCCACCTTTCATTCTTCAGTCTTCAGTAATAAGGATAGTAGGTTGATGAACCTGTGTTAATCCTGACACATTGCTTTCCAGTGAAGGTCCAGCTTTTCCATGAAAGTATTCACTGATGGGGCTGATACCACTTGTTCGGGTAAGGCGTTCCAATCATTGACTACTCGATGAGAAAAACGGGATCCTACTTTAAGTTTATTAGATCGTGGTTTATGAACCTTCTTGCTATGACCTCGAAGATTAATAGTGCTGGAGGGAGCAAAAAGATAAGACATATTAACACCCAAATCATAATTAAAGATACGAAATGCCAGTATAAGGTCACCTCGTGTCCTACGATACAACAAGGGGAAAAGATTTAGGCGTTTTAAACGCTCATCGTAAGGGAGTCTAGAAAGACCCTTCACTAATTTCGTTCCCACACGCTGGACACGCTCAAGGGAGTTAGTATCCTTTACCAGACACGGGCTAGCTGCTTGGATACAGTACTCTAAATGTGGTCTAACATATATGGGATATAAAATTCTAAACATTTCCTCGTCAAAAGATTTGAACGCTCGGCGAAGTGACCATAACGCACGAAAACGTTTAACAGCGGCTGCTTTGCAATGCTTAGTTGTTTTTAAATCATGACTTAATATTACTCCTAAGTTTTTATGCTCTTGAACGCATGGAAGAGGTTTACCCTCAATAGTGTAACAGTAACTATTACCGTGACCGATGTGCATTAGCACACTCTTCCTAGCATTGATTTCTAAGCCCCACTCTCGAGCCCATCTAACTAAATCGTCTAAGTCAGCTTGAAGATTCACATGATCAGCCGCACTTTTTATTGTTCTCCAGATTTTCACATCATCCGCAAACAATAATGTCGACGACCTAAGTAACAGCGGTAAATTATTAACGTAGAGAAGGAAGAGCAGAGGGCCTAAGATGGTGCCTTGGGGTACACCACTTTTGACCAGCTTCCAATCGGATAGCGTTTCGTTGACTCTAACTCTCTGTCTGCGGTCACATAAGAAATTTCCTATCCACTCATGTACAGTGCCTATTATTCCGAAGCTCGTGAGCTTCTGCATAAGACCTACGTGTGAAACCTTGTCAAACGCTTTGCTGAAATCTATGAATATCACGTCGACAGACAGACCGTTATCTAGGGCTGCTGTCCAATCCTCCCTCGCAATAAGCAGGTTAGTCAAGCATGAACGCTTGTTACGAAATCCGTGTTGCTCAGGAGCTAACAGATTGTGTAAATCTATGTGGCTTAGCAACCTAACCCGAATTATCTTTTCGAGTAAATAAACGACTATGCTAGTTAGACTGACAGGCCGGTAGTTAGATGCTATCTGTCGCTGACCATCCTTAAATATAGGACTAACTATAGCGTCCTTCCAATCTCTAGGGAGTTGAGCGAGTGAGAAGGACATGTTGAAGAGTGTCGCAAGCGGTTTTGAAATAATGTCCGCAAGAGATGACAGCAACCGTGGATGTAACCCGTCAGGGCCCGGTGTCTTACCAGGTTTGAGGTTAGTTATCAACGGAAGGACAGTTTCCTCAGTCACCTGTACAGATTCGATGGTTGGTATCTCGGTGTGAGTGGGACAAGTATTTGTTACAATAAACGTAGAGAACACTTAGCTAAAGTAGTCTGAAAAAGTCTCAGCTTTTGCTCGATCTGATTCAGCTAGTAATTCTGAATTGTCGTGTAACAGTAACGGGGGAATACTATCACTACGTTTCATTTGCCGTTTAACATACGAAAACAATCGTTTCGGACAAGTACGGCTATCATATACTAATTGTCGTTCGTAAGTGATAAGAGATTTGTCTATGGTTTTCTTACAGATATTACGGTATTTTCGGTACTCACGCTTAAATGGTGCATGACCTGTCAACAAGAATAAGTCCCAGAAATGTTTTCTACGCTTTAACAGCTTCCGGGTTTCCTTATTAATCCATAGAGGGCAATGTGATAGCTTACGTACTGACCATAGGATAAACGGCGACGTTATGGATTCGAATGTAGCCTTAAACTTATTCCAATCATCTTCGATCAATCCATCCGCGTCGATCGACCAATCAGTCGAGATAGCACAGTTTCTGATCGCCGGAATTTTGGCTCGCCAGATATTGGGACGGGGTGGAGCAGATACGAATTGTATACCATGTGTCCTAAACTTAAAGTGAATTACAACGTGATCTCTGTTCACTAGTGGAGGAAGGTGCTGGATATCAAGGACATCCTCAGAGTGGTGGGTGAGGGCGAGGTCCAGCAGTGACGGAACATGTTGCAAATCAATATGTGTCGGTTTTGTGATACATTGTACCAGTGCACACTGAATAACGGTAGATAAAAGGTCGCTATCGAAACC